AATCGCGATTAATCGCATTAATGTCATAGTTAACTCGCAATTAATCGCACATTTTTATCTATTCTAAATGTCCCTTGATTTCTTTTTGTCCCATTATTTTTTCTCATTTTAATGCTCTTATCAACATGGGAAAGTGGATCAGCTTGCTTTGTGCAAATGTTGTTTTTATTGAAAACAACATTGGCATATACTGTAGTGTTCAATTTCACACTAACATTCTCACTTGGAGCAAATAATCTCTCACACAATGTAACACTGTCCATCAATAAAAGGGTGAAACAAATACTTTGTCACCCAAACAGCCCCTTCAACAGCCCTTTCTAAGGGATCAAAACAGGGCGATACAAAATAAAATTACAAAGTGCACATGTAAGGTAAACTAGGACTCTGCCTATAGTGCAGTTAAACCATGGCTTACAGTTTTTCTCCATTGGTTTGGCTCATTTCTTGAAATAGAAATTACATTCTCAGAACTCTAAGATCATTTGGCAAAACAGTCTTACAGTTCAGCACAACACCATAGCTCACCTGCAAAAGCTCATATCTCTCCCAAAACTGTTCACTCATGCTTCAAAACTAAATTCCTTTCCTGTAGAAATAGTCAGTGCCACCAAAAGGCAAACGATCCTTCTCAATTGCTTTGGCTCATTTCTCGAAACAGACCGGAGGTTCTCAACACTCTTGGTGCTTTTGCCAAAATAACCTGGATGGTTCAGCACAACCCCATGGTTCACCTGCAAAAGCTCATATCTCTCCCAAAACAGTTCACTCATGTGTCAAAACTAAATTCCTTTCTCATATAAATAGTCAGTGCCCCCAAAATGCATCGTCCCTTTGGCATTGAGTGAGCACTGCAAGTCAAAATGTTTAAATGTTTTGTCACTATGGCAGAGGACCATTGAAATATCCCTCATGTCCACCTCTCAGTCTTAGCCCAGTCCTTCACTGACAATGGTTACTAGTTTTTTTTGTCTAGCTAACAGAATACAATTTTGTATAAAACGGAAAAAATAAAAATAAAAAAACAGGATTTTAGGGTAAGAGTAGCCTCTAAGATTTGACATCGCCAAGGAAAGGTAGCCATTTTTATTCACACACATAAAGTAACCTCCATATCAGAGTAAAAAGAAAATGCATAAAGCATAATATACTCTAATATAAACACATAAACAAAAACAAGGACAATGATATGTAGCCTACAGTGCTGTAAATAAATACAGTATATGGTATTCATGGTTTTATGTTGATATGATTATGTTGACTAATTTTGACAATTGAACCGACTATTTTGCATGTGATGACTTTTAGAATGAAATGTTTTGGAGGGAACAACCATTAGACTGAGAATCAATCAATCAGTTTAGATCAACAGGATCTATTCACTTGGAAATTGTGCTAAATGTAGGCTAACTGTGCTAACTGTAGGCTAACTGTACTTAATAATTTGCAAATATGTACTAAGACATTTGCAATGTGATGAAATCAATGAGAAATTCAATTCTGTTGTGAACAATTGCCAAGTGGTTTGGAGGTTTGTCCATGTTGTTTTGAGAATGTAATTTCTGTTTCAAGAAATGAGCCAAACCAATGGAGAAAAACTGTAATACTTTTCTCAAGTTTGCTTTGAACATAGCAGTCAGGCTGCTGCTTTTAAAGAGTTCGGTCTAGACCTGCTCTATTTGAAAAGTGTCCTGAGATAACTTCTGTTATGAATTGGCGCTATACAAATAAAATTGAATTGAATTGAATTGCTCTTTATTCACCAGAGGCTCAACCCAGCCTCTTATTTCAGAAAGAATGAACAGTAACGGTTACCAGTAATAGGTAAGCCTACTACTTCTTTGCTTTGAGCCAGTTACTCAAACAGACAAGCCTGTTGACATTTTCAGACAACAAGGACTCCATCCATTTCGGCGTCTCGCGCTCGCCATCCACTCAAAACGTAACGTCTACTACTCTTAAACAAGTGTGTGCGGCGTGCCTGTTGTTCTGTTTCCGGTCTAGCTAGATCCAGTGTGGTGTTGTAGTTTTTCTAACGTTACTAGTTGTTGCAACAGCATGTTAAAAAACTGTGCTAGGCGTTATTCTCGCGATAAAAATATTGACACCATTAAAATGGGTTTGCGTTAACGCCGTTAATAATGCGTTAATCTGACAGCACTAATATATATATATATATATATATAACGGTCTGTACTTGTATAGCACCTTTCTTGTCTTCACAAACAGAAACTAATCCATTCATACACATTCAAACGCAGCATCAGGAGCAGTTCAGGGTTCAGTTTCTTGCTCAAAGACACTTCCACATGCAGCCGGAGCAGCCGGGGAATCGAGATGTGGGCTGTAGACTACAGAAGAGCACTGCATTCACGTAACAGAATTTATCCAATTTTCTTTGTCATAATTTCATGCAAAAGAAAAACTCAGCTTTGTTTTGTTGAATGAAAGAGATTCGTCCAGCAGTCTCAAACCCACATCCTGTATCTAGTCTCCAACGACACACACTGAAGCACTGCTGTGGTTGATCAGTAGACTGTGTGACAGACAGACCAGAAGGGTAGCTCCTTCAAACCGCTCAGACAGTAACATGCAGGGGTTCGGATTAAACAGCCCTTGTGGACGATCCACCCAGAGAGATCCACCAAATGGGACCAGCACATCAGCAGTGGGTGCTGTAGCCCCAAGAGGAGAGGAAGAGACCCAGATAGGAGCCATGCCGATCCAGGTTGGACTTAAAGGGGAACTTCGGCAGATTTTTACCCTAGTCTTGTGGCATTCTTTAGGATATGCCCCCAAAAAGTGTATTATAACTAACTGGGAGCTCTGGCCATTAGCTGCAGGATCTCCAGTTTACTAGCGCCAATTCTGGTCGTTCTTTTTCTTATCGACAGTACTCGGTGACCTCTAGTAATCAAGACTAGGGTAAAAATCTGCCGACGTTCCCCTTTAAGGCTGCTCCTGGATAATGTCAGGACGAGAGGAGGCGGATTCTGTGCAAGTGCTGATGATGCTTGGTGCTCAAACAAAAGATTAGGGATGCACTGATATGATAACCAATAATTAGCTGCTCCTCATGGCCGATACCAATAAGATAACTAATAATTTCACATTTTTGTATTTTTAAAAGAAGTTCATAACATGGAGTTGCCCCTGGGGGCAAGAAAGGCTGAGATTTAATCTTATATAACTCTGTTATAATCAAATCTAACCGATATCACTGTTGTTTACAACAACAAGCAACAATTTGGATTTCAGATGTTCATTTATTTTTTCTAGTAAAGTTCCAGATAATTTATATAATTGGCTGATAAATAATCTGTACAGATAATTATTGTGCATCCGTTTTATTGTCACTATCTTGTTGTTGCACATTCAAAAGGTGACCTGCTGAATTATTTCCTTAAATTATGGATATATATAACTCTATATATTGATTTATTGTATGTGATTCTATAAATTGAATGAACTTCCGTTGTACAGCCTTGTGTTGGAATGATAAAAAGTTCCTTGTTTCAGCCATGAAGGGACCGGATCCTCCTGCAGTGTATTATTATAGACTCTGTCTCAGGTTACATACTGGGGTAGGAACCGTGGGCATGTTGTACTGTTCAAGGGGGACAATAGAGTGGAGGGGTCAAGATGTGTGCAGCTGTCGTTCTGGTGTCGAGCCTCCAGATCAGGTTTCACTTTATTAACAAGTGTGGGTCACGTCCCTTGCCAGGCACACCCCGAACGCCGAACTCCAGTGTCCCTGCACCCAGGGGTGTGGACACCCGAGGACAGCCGAGATTAGACACTGGGCACGGACCTCACCGATCTCCTTCTGGTTCTCCAGCAGAGCTCCAGGGTGAAGAGGGGCAACCTGCTGTTAGACTGAAGGGGGGCTGCGAGCTGGGCCTGGGCACGGACAGCTTGTACACAAACACAGCTTCATTGCTCGTATACAAACACAGCGCTGGAGGTCTCTCGTTAATTCAGAAAAACACAGCTGAATTTTCTTTTTCAAGTAGACTCAATACGTAGAAATAAACCATTTTATATGGTTATAATTCTTCCTGCTGTGTGTCTCTGTGAATTGAAGTAAAATAATTAGTTTATAAGTTATATGATGCATTATAGTCACTGTATGTACAGAACAACAATGCTGTCTGTTTCAATCACTTATTTCCAGGATGGGAACAACAGGTGATCCAGGAGGAGTTAGGACTTAATGAACTCCCCTGAAAACATGGTTTGTGTAATATTTGAGATCTCTAAAACGTGCTGTTGTTCTATTTTACTGCAACTTCATCCTCATGTATCATGTGTAAAATTAGGCTCTTATTGATCGAATTTAATAAAGATTCCGACATACATGCTGTTCTCACCATCACCATCGAAGTGGCGCAAAATTCTAAACTTTAAGTCAAAGAGCAGAAAAACTAACTTTCTTCGTCTGCACGCCGAGTCAACGCCATTCATTTCTGTCACAGTCACAAGAAAGCCCCCCCAACCCCCCAAAAAAGTGAGCTCCCCAAACACCATGGTATAGTTCACACACTGCTCATATTCTCTAATGTTACTTTGTGGAGATCATTTAAATATATAAGATTCATTTCTATAACTATCACTCACACATTAACAGCTGAATGTTACATGTTCGTAACCTCCGTGTGTCTGTGCTGCTGTTCAGATATTTAACATTTAATAAAGACCAACTTTATCGTCTTTCAGACTACACAGGACAGTAGAGTGAAATTATCCATCTATTTATTTATTATTTCATTAATTTAATGATATAAATACACACAAGTGTGATTATATTGCACACACTGAGTAAAATGAATGAAAAACATAAACTGAATATTTTGATTTGACAGGTTATTTTAGTTCCAGTTTCTTCTTCTAAGTGCTTCATGTCGTGTTTTAATGTTTAACGTTTGAATCATGAAAACTTTATGAAGTGGAAGATTGATGCTGCTGAATATTTAAACAGTGTGTGTGTGTGAGTGTGTTACCTGACTGGAGCTCCTCGGCTCTGAGCCGGTTTCAGCAGAACGGTGACGGTGGAGTCGGTCTGGTTGAGAGGAGACTCCTGGTCGTACGCCGGCATCAGAGGAGCTGAGGAGGAACACAGAGTGCAGAGAGAACCCAGCGGTCAGCAGAACCTTCATTATGAAAAGAACCAAGAACCATCCACTGTGTGCTGCCTACAGCTCTGCAACACTCCTGGACGCTGGGGAAGACTCATCTGAGGGCTTCCTTTCAGATTCCAGTCTTACAGGTTATAAGCCTTCTGACTCAGTTAAAAATAAAACAATTGAACGATGCAAGCAGCGATGATGATTGGCCCTCACAGCACCAAACGTCTGAAGTTTGGTTGAGATTCGACACAGGAGTTACAACAACTTCCTGTTTCATAGCGAATCGTTGAAATTCAACACCAAACAACGGACATGCCATTCAACGCACACTCACACACAGCTTAACTTTTAATTTTAACGGACTTTAGATCATACTGACCAAATCTGAAGTCAATCCAATCAGTTCCCTAGGATGAGTTCTCTAAAATACAACACGGCAAAAATGACAAGTAAATTTAAAATGGCCGGCTTCCTGTTGGCTTTTTTGTCTGTCATGTCATGATACACGTGTGTACCAATTTTCATACATATCACATATCACAGAGTTTATTGGGTGCTGTCGAGCCACTGTGCGATGCCGTTAGAATACGTACATTTACGCCACCATTGTATTTTGTACCTCATTTTATGAGTTTTTGAGATGGTTTCAAAAAAATTATAATTTGTTTCAACGTTGGGCTCTGACAGCCTTGATCAGCGATTATGAACAGAGTTTGATGCTCGCCTGCTCCTGAAGAGGTGAGTTTACACCGGGTCTGAGCGAGAGGAAGTCTCGATGCCGGCGTATCTATTACATAAATCTGATTATTTTAATACGGATCACAGAACCAATATTTACTCGAATAAAATGCAAATGATCCAACAAGGCAAAAATTCTGCACACAGTGAACAAAATACAACAGGAAACCACAAAACCTGGAAATATTTAAAATAATAAAAGCCTGCACATTAGGATCCATTCAGGACAAAGAGATTGTGGGACTGAGCTCCAATTAAGATGCTCTGCAGTGGTTAAGGGCCCCTGATTCTGAGCCCGGTAGACCCCTTTGGTTGTTGCCTGAACTTCCTGTCAGTGTTATTTTGAAGGACACACACCTGAGATCTTGGTGGTGAACTGGGTGATGACCGGAGGGCCGAAGCCTTTAACAGTTGAGGCTCTTATTGTGAAGGAGTAGGTGGAGCCTGGGTAGAGGCCGGTGAACACGTGGTTTGTCTCATTGGCCGGTTTGAACACCTTGCCGCTCTGATTGGACAGGTCAAACTCTGTGTCGAAGGAGCTTAGGGCTTTGTAGGAGATCTGTTGAGGAAAGCAACAATAATGCATCACAGGGGATTGTGGGTAAGAGAGTCTTTTATGCCACGTTGTATTCTATTGTTTCAGACTATGTCTTTATTTGGGACTACTTTCTTTAGCTTGTAATTATCTACAAACATAAACACATTTCAAACTTCAAATAGATTTGAGTGGATAAGACATTTGATCCTTCCTAAGCCCCGCCCTTTTCCCTCTGTCCTCCAATAATAGTTGAGCAACTTCCTCCTGCTAATATTAGCTAACTTATGATGTGACTACATATCTTTTATCTTTGAACCATCTTCTAAATGTGGTTGTCTTTCCAACATATATTAGCCTAGCATAGCATATCTAAGTACAGGAAAGGAAGAAGTTGCTCAGCTGTTATTGGAGCCAGAGCAAATAGAGGCTGGGCTTATAAAGGTGATGTGTTTACCTCGTACTGACGGATGAGGCCGTAGGTCTGCAGCGGTTCTTTCCAGCTCAGACTGATCTGCTGCTCGTAGCTGCTGCCCAGGATGGAATCTACTGGAACGGCTCCAGGAACTGAGACACAAAGTTTAACTTTTAAAAACTGAAACTAAACTTGAGTTCAACAACACAAAAGATAAAGTCTGACCAGCGTCGTACCGTCTTCGTCCGTCAGCACCAGCAGCTCCTCGCTGTCCTTGCGTCCCTCAGGGTTACTCAGGAGGAGCCTCAGGCTGACATTGGTGAACGGTGGAAGGTTACGTACGATGTGCTGCGGCACAACACTCAGAGTGTCATACACCACCTCCTCCCGCACCTCCTCCTTCACCGGCTCCCTGCAGGAGATACATGAGGAGGCACATTACCTGTCGGCTCCGCCCCCTGCCTGTGTTTACCTGCTGGCTCCTCCCCCTGCCTGTGTTTACCTGTCGGCTCCTCCCCCTGCCTGTGTTTACCTGCTGGCTCCTCCCCCTGCCTGTGTTTACCTGTCGGCTCCTCCCCCTGCCTGTGTTTACCTGTCGGCTCCTCCCCCTGCCTGTGTTTACCTGCTGGCTCCTCCCCCTGCCTGTGTTTACCTGTCGGCTCCTCCCCCTGCCTGTGTTTACCTGTCGGCTCCTCCCCCTGCCTGTGTTTACCTGCTGGCGGCCCCTGCAGATCTGTAGCGGTACTGCACAGTCAGGTTGTAGCTGTAGCAGCGGGTCACGTTGTATCCGAACGGTTCCCATCGTACCGTCACCTGTTTGGACTGAATGTCGACGACCTCCAGACGCCGCGGGCCGTGCATCGGAT